AAAAAAAAAAAAAAAGAAAAAGGAACTCAGGATAACAGAAATAAAGAAAGCTCTTGGGAAGGTGGGACAAGAGGGGTCTGGAGAGGTAGACCAGGGCCAGACAGGCAAGAACTTCGGCCTTGTTAAAGATTCAGAACTTGGCCAGGCATGGTGGCTCACATCTGTAATCCTAGCACTTAGGGAGGCAGAGATGGAAAGATCACTTGAGCTCAGGAGTTCAGGACCAGCCTGGGAAATACTCCATTCTCCTAAAAAGGTAAAAATATTCAGAACGCTAACTAAAAAACAATGGGAGAACATCAGATTCCTCATCTGCAAAGTGGGAATAACAACAGCTATCTCATAGTTACCAGGGAGCAAAATGAGAATACAAATAAAAAGTCTTTTGTAAGTTATAAAGCATTATAGGAACACTACTAAGATATTAGTAATAACAAGTTGTGCTGCTTTCTTAATAGGACCCAAGAGTTCAAACCACCTCCTAAGGAGAATATGAAATACCCTCTAAAACCCTGACATACTCCAGGGAGCGGACGGAAAAGTCGTAAGTTTATTTCAGTTGGAAATTCCAGTGTTAGGCTTATGAAGCCTGGGGGTGAATGGAGCTGTTTGGAGCAAGATCACACCATTTATGGCAATGTGGAGTTCTCAGCTCTACACCAAACCCCTGACACCACTTCCAGAAAAGATCATTCTGCCTCCTTCTCAAACCAGCCAGAGCAGAATCACCAAAGCATTCTTGTCTCTTAATTTCTTTCTTTTTTTTTGAGATGGAGTCTTGCTCTGTCACCCAGGCTGGAGTACAGTGGTGCGATCTCAGCTCACTGCAACCAGCCCTGACATGCCACCATGGAGAATGTAATGGTTCACTTTGGGCCATTTCCTCTCTGCCTGTAAAATATGAAACATTACCTAAGTACAGGAGGACAGAGCTTCTGCCCAGATAGGTATGTGATTTAGCACGCATTACCACAACCTCTTGCTACTCAGAGTAGAACTAGACACAGTTCTTCCACAGAGAGGTCAGTGACTACTCTAAATGTTCCACAGTACTACACTCCAGAGGTTGCAAACTTGCATTTTTTCTTGACCTATACAATGCTTTCAAAATCTTTTTGAAATTTTATTTATTTATTTATGTTTTCTCATGTGGCCTGTGTGTGGGAAGGTCACGAATCCTCAATCTGCTTGAAAATTTACATGCCAGCTTTTAGAACTCAAGGTATTTTAAATAAAAATCCAGATTACTGGCTTTTCTTGAAAAATCACCACCGGTGACGGCAGCTCATGCCTGCAATCCCAGCACATCGGGAGGCCAAGGTGGGATGATTGCCTGCTTGAACCCAGGAGTTCAAGACCAACTTGGGCAACACAGTACAACCTTGTTTCTACAGATAATTTAAAAATTAGCCACAGGGTTGGCTAGGCACAGTGACTCAGCCTGTAATCCCAGCCCTGGGGAGATGGGGGCGGGTGGATCATCTGAGTTCAGGAGTTCGAGACCAGCCTGGCCAACATGGTGAAACCCCATCTCTACTAAAAATAGAAAAAACTAGCTGGGAGTGGTAGTGCGTGCCTGTAATCCCAGGTACTTGGGAGGCAGAGGCAGGAGAACTGCTTGAACCCAGGAGGCGGAGGTTGCAGTGAGCCGAGATCGCACCATTGCACTCCAGCCTGGGGATGGAGCCAGACTCTTTCAAAACAAAATTAGCCAAGTATGGTGATGTGTGTCTGTGGTCCCAGCTACTCAGGAGGTTGAGCTGGTTATATAACATTCAGTCACTTACACAGCACTACCACATCCTTGTGGTCTGTACTGTGGTTGATGTTTTTATCATCTCTTCCACTCTCCCATGTATACACACACGTATGTACATACATGTACATACATACACACAGGCACACACATCTGTACACACATGTATACACATACAAACATGTTGATACATGCACACGTATGTATACACCTGTACACACATGTATGTATATATGTATGCATTTGTCCACAGCTGTTTTGCTTAGATCCATTTTCTTATAGACTTTTGAGACTGAGTCTCTCTCTCTTGCCCAGGCTGGAGTGCAGTGGCATGATTTCAGCTCATTTCAACTTCTGCCTTCTGGGTTCAGGCAGTTCTCCTGCCTTGGCTCCCCCGAGTAGCTGGGATTACAGGCACTCACCATCAAGCTTTGCTAACTTTTTTGTATTTTCAGTAGAGATGGGGTTTCAACATGTTGGTCAGGCTGATCTTGAACTGACCTCAAATGATTCACCCACCTCAGCCTCCCAAAACACTGGGTTACAGGTGTGAGCCACTGCGCCTGGCTTTTTTTTTTTTTGAGACAGGGTCTCCCACTGTCACGCAGGCTGGAGTGCAGTGGCACAATAATCGCTCACTGCAGCCTCCACCTCTTGGGCTGAATCGATCCTCCCACCTCAGCCTCCTATCTGAGGCTACAGGCATGAGTCACCATGTCCAGGCTAACATTTTAATTCAAACATTTATTAATTTAATGCTTCAATTAACTAAATTTCATTCATTCAATTTCTAGTTAACCAAAAGAAACCCAGGATAGCTGGAACAAAGAGGACTCATGCAGGCTGGTGCGCAGGCAGGATGGTTAGAAAGGAAGCAGCCACCTTGGACAATAAAGAGGAAAGCCCTCATGCTGGGGTTGGTGGAAACTGATATACTCTGTTTATGCCTCTGTAAGTATTATCCACAGCTGCAAAATTTAGCCTACTATGATTATGTTTTCTTTGTTTAAAAAAATCTTGGGCCAGGCATGGTGGCTCATGCTTGTAACCCTAGCACTTTGGGAGGCCAAGGTGGGCGGATCATCTGAGGTCGATAATTTGAGACCTGACTGACTAATATGAAGAAACCCCATCTCCACTAAAAATACAAAATTAGCCACGTGTGGTGGTGCACCTGTAATCCCAGCTACTCAGGAGGCTGAGGCAGGAGTATCACTTGAACCCGGGAGGCGGAGGTTGCTGTGAGCAGAGATTGCGCCATTGCACTCCAGCCTGGGCAACAAAAGCAAAACTCCATCTCAAAAAAAGAAAAAAAAATCTCATGGAGTCAATTATACATAAACACTAAATTAGGACTTGTCTGCTTAGTTTCCTGTGTTCCAATCATGAATTTATTCTCTATCATTCACTAAAAGTATAGACTTTTCCTGTACTCATTGCATCTTCTTTCTTGGGTATCTCCCTCCTGGAGGCTTCTGTCCTCTGGCTCCAGCCTTACTGATTGTTCCCTAGGCCTGCAGCCAGGCCAGCTATCACCCTAGGATTTCCCTTCATTATCATCTTAGAAGCTTTTTTTTTTTTTTTTTTTTTT